GCCCCCACCCGCGCCGCAGCCCCTCTCGCTCCAGCCGCCGACCACTTCCGCTCTCTGCCTATCGCGGCCCCTGATTGGTTCTTCTGCGGAGGTAGACTGGGCGTACGTGAAGCACGCGAGGCTCATTCCGGCCAGCTCATTGGCCCCGCTCTCGGCCAGCGCACTCGCACCCTCAGTCACGAGCCTATTGGCCAGAGGTGGCCTCGCTGCCTCGCGCACACGCACACTCACGTACCGCTTCTTAAAGCGGCAGCGCCGTGCCAAAGCTCAGCCCCACCGCTAACCCAGGCAGCCTCGTGTCGGGGTCCGGGAAGCGGCGGGCTCCTTAGTCACTGGGCCGGCTGTTCAGGGTCTTGAACCCCGCCCTCCCCCATTCATGGCAGTAGGCTCCCAGGCTAGATCAGAGGGAAAACATTCACATAAAAAAGAATCTGACATCAGAAAAGGGCAGACAAATAGCGACAAGTTTTTCAAGTGCTTGTTCACAAATGCTAGAAGTCTAAAAATAAGAGGGGTGAACTAGAGTGCCTTGTGATAAAGGAGGATATTGATACAATAGGAATCACAGAAACCTGCTGAAATGAGGACAATAAATGGGACAGGCTCATACCATGGTAGAAAATATATTGAAAGGACAGAACAGGTCATGCTGGTAGGGGAGTAGCATTGTACGTGAAAGAAAATGGAGAATCAACTGAACTAAAAAATCTTAAATGAGCTAAAATGTTCCATAGAATCTCTATGGTAGTAATTCCATGCTCCAATAATAAGAATATAGCAGTAGGGATAAATTATTGACCACCTGATCAGGACCGTGGTAGTGACTATGAAATGCAAAGGGAGATTAGAGAGGCTATCAAAATAAAAAATTCAATAATAGTACGGGATTTTAACTATCCCCATATTGATTGGGTACAAAATGCAGAAACAAAATTTCTCGATACCTTAAATGACTGCTTCTTGGAGTAGCTGGTACAGAAACCCATGAGGGGAGAGGTAATTCTTGATTTAGTCCTGAGTGGAGCGCAGGATCTGGTCCAAGAGGTAGCTATAACAAGACCGCTGGGAAACAGTGACCATAATATAATAATATTTAACATTCCTGTGGTGGGAAATATACCTCAGCAGCTCAACAGTGGCATTTAATTTCACAGAGGGGAACTGTGGAGGCAGGAAAGGAATAAGGGCATTTGTGTGCAGCCATCTTGGTCTTGTTAATAAGAGAGCAAGAGTCAGGCTAAGTCTGTGGCCTGACAACACGAGATCTGTAATTAGACGCTGCCTTTGCCTCTTGCCTCTATACGGAGATAAGGATAGAATGCAGACTCTGGCAGAGACCTTGAGATAAGGAGCATCTGGGTGGAACTAAATAACTGTTAGCCATTGGTGTTTGTAATGGGAAGTAGACTAATTGTTATTGTTGTTATATTTAATAGTATATAAACTGCTTCATAATTGCTTGTGTTCAAAGATCTGCCTA